TGTTTATGTATATATATTGTTTATGTATATACTGTATTCTATACGGTATATAGTACCAGTCAAATGTTTGGACCCTCGAATGGGAAAGTGTCCAAACTTTTGACTGGTACTGTACTATAATATACACAAAGAATATCGGCCGATATATCGATATCTGCCTTTTTTTACTCCCTAATATTGGTATCGGTATCGGCCCCAAAAAATCCATATCGGTCGGGCTCTACTAAACACTAACATAGTTTTCCTTTTTTGCAGCTGGAATTTTAATCTCGCGCTGCCCTGGAAAATGCCAAAGAGCACGGAATGATTTATGATTCCTGAAATGTGTATTTCTGCAGTAAACAACTTGTGCTGCTATAGCAGTTTCTCACACAAGTCTTGATTTTAACTCTTGTTCTGCCTGACTGCGAGTTATCCCAACAAACACAACTGTTAGTTATGACCAGCTCAAAACAACAACCACCACTGGGAAAAAAGTCAACTATACAAATGAACCTGGCGGCAACAGGTAAGGTAAATTTGTGTTTCCCAGACATACTTGTGATTTTAATCTCATCTGAATCGGTTTTTCCTCATTCAACCTTGCTGAAAAAGAAAAAAAAATGGAGGAAATTAGTTTCTCTGCTCTGAGAAATCAAAATCTGTACAGATGCAATGTAATAACATAGAACAACATGAAATTCAAAGCAATGCAACAAAATGCAGTTCAATGCAATGTAGTAAACTTAAACAACATGATGCATTTCAATGAAATAAAACGCAATTCAATGTAATAAAATGTCATGTAATTCAAAACAATCCCATGAAATAAAATTAGATGTAATTCAATGCAACAAAACTAGGGATGCACCGAATGTTCGGCAACCGAATAAGCGAAAAGGCCGAATAATGTGTACCGAACAATGACTAACGCGATCAAATAGAGGCATGCACTAATGCAGCAAACATGCCAGCAGTGTGAAAGTATTTAAAACTATCAGAGAAAGACGCAGAAATCATTACAAGCACGAAGCACCGACAGCGAGAGACTGTTTAGTGCTGCATCACATCTCCGATGAGAAGAAGAGGTGGCTGATGCTGGTGTTTAGGCTACTTTATCAACCCTCTACATTGCGAGTAAATCACTCGCATATGCGACTAATCCTGCGGGTTTCTGCCAAAATAAAAGCAGAGAAAAAGCAACAACTCCATCAACATCCATAAATATTAGTATTGTAATTTTACTGTTGTTCTGTAAAATAAAATAAAAAAGTAAGACAATAATAATGATAATAATAATTACTAGAGATGCATCGATTGCAATTTTCTTGGCCGATTCCGATTTCAGCATAAATATTGGACTGCGGTCCCTTTAAGAGTTTATCCATGGACCCAATATACTGTTACACAACATGCGTTCTCTTTCTCAACTATGTAACGTTCCAAAACTGACTGTGTTTAACTGGATAATCGCTAAGACGGGCATTTTGACATAATTATTTATGTATTTGAACGTTTTAGCACAGTTAGCCACTCATTTTGGTATTTGTGGCTCACAAGCTGTTTGAGACTGAGCACGGCTTGTGCGCTCCACTAATATAGATCAGTGGTGGAGCGTGCGCGTTTGGTATAAGCGCGAAACCTGCGGGAATGACTTGCTCAGCAAGGCTGCCTTTATTTGTACAGTAAAAAATACATGCCTGATTCAAGTCTCAAAAATGGCCCAAAAATATTATTTTACTAACTTATTAATTTTATTAATAAGTTAAAGTTTTAAAGTTAAATTGTGCTTTGTTGGTATAATGTCTGCTAGAATGTTAAAAAAAATGTTCAGTGTTAAGTAAATATTTTTAAATTGTTGTTTTGTAATTTATTTTTTTATTTGAAAAGCAGAGCAAAACAGTAAAAAGCATATTTTGGCTATTTAATTTATGCAATGGAGAAAAAAAATGGCAAAATAGGCCTACATGGGGGAAAAAATGCGAAAAACTGTGTTCGGTGTTCGGCCCAGTGTTTCATTATGTTCAGCTTTGGCCAAGAATTTTAATGTCGGTGCATCCCTAAATAAAATTTAATTCAGTGCAATTGTATAAATGTTTTATAAATATGTGATTGCACTACTACAATTTCACAAAATATTTTAACTGCTTCTTACATTTATATTTTCACTAAATATGAAGGATGCACTAATGAAAAATTTCTTTCTTCCCTCAGAATGCAATCGTAGGTAGGGCTGTCGCGGTGAGGGAATTTCCCTTGCAGTAATTTTGAGTGGCTCAATAGCGCGGTATGTGGTATTATCGCTATATATATATATTTTGTGTGTGTGTGTTACGATATAACTAACGAGGTCATATTCAGAAGACAATGAAACCGAAACCAAATAGCGTTGAAACAGGAAGTGGAGGACAGACGCAAGTAATCGCACGCGCTCATTCGATCTTTCTCTCATTCACTGTCTGTTTAGGCTTGCAAATCTACGGAGCCTCTGTACAAATCAGCATGGAACACATTATGTTATCATTACTAACTTGTTTAATATTCAGTCCACATGCATGAAGTGTAAAACGAGAAGGGCATGACCTTACGAAAAAAGAAAACACGCAAAAATCGCGGTTGCTGCGGTTCTTGCATTCCTCTGCGGTTTGCTCGTCAATAGCGTGGTATTGCGATATTGCGGTTATCGCGACAGCCCTAATCGTAGGTAAAATATTTTGCATAATATGGACATATAAAATACAATAAAAAGGACACAGATTCCAGTGGGAACATCCCATAAGAAACACATGGATTAATTAATTGTGATGTGCTGCATTCATACCCATCAAATCTCCTGAACTCGACGAGGTCTTTAATACTATGACGGCTTAAAGTCAAACAATAGGCCCACCATCTCGCACCACTGAAAACCAGAGTTTATGGGTTTAGGAAATCATTAGGAAGGGTTTACAGGCATTAAATCAAGGGATTTCTAACCCTAAAGAAGCAGATCGCACACTGTACCTCCAAGATGATGACTGGATTATAAGCTTGTGAGGTTGAAAAAAAGACCACCACTTTAACCTTTAACTTTTGAAGCACATTATGAAACAGAAACATTCATTAAAGATGGGAAATTCCTCCAACTAAGATCCTAAAAACACCTTTTACTCTACTGGAGCGGTCCTCATGATAACCCATCTTTCTAAGGAAGTGAGACTTAAAGGGGTCATATGATGCGATTTCAAGTTTTCCTTTCTCTTTGGAGTGTTACAAGCTCTTGCGTCTCCTTGACATGGCTGCTTCAACACTAACTGCGGTTACTGACACCATGCCTTCTTTCTTTGCGTGCACATTTGCGGCGGGATTATGCAAATATTTCCACATAGTGGGGTAGATATGTGGGGGCGTGTTAGAATGAGCCGTTTTAGGGGGGCGTGGCAGTCTTAACTTTGATAAAGAATATCTCTTTGGTTTTGAGACTTTAGTCTTTGCAACTTCAGGGATCTTATCTATGCACAATCAGCTTGTAACACTCCAAAGAGAAAGGAAAACTTGAAATCGCATCATATGACCCCTTTAAAGCATGTCAGAATATTCTGTTACACCAAATAATGATCTTTAAAATAGCATCAAATATGACCCCTTTAATGAAATGCTAATTTGCCCACTTACATCTAAACCTTCTTACAGACATCCTCTGAAATATTCAAAGCCTTTTAAGATGCAGTCAGGGAAGGAGAAATGCATAATGTCTTAAATGTTTGAAGGGTCAGAACGCTACAGAATTATCTTTGTCTGTAAAGTAAACGGCACAAAATAAGTCCCACTTCTATTTGAAGCAAGCAGAGTTCTGCCTTCTCTG